TAACTTCAATATTGTTCATTTTACAGAGTTCATAAATGGGCGCCAATAAAAGTAGTGCGGATACTACTTGTAATCCTAAATATAAATAGGGTGTATGCTAATACGTTAATTCTGCATTGCTTCTTCTGTAAATTATTTAATTTTAAGCTTAACGTCCGTATCTGATGAATTGTTTTTATCTGAGGCCGGGGGTGTAATTGTAATAGTTGCCTTGCTATTCATATTTTTCATACATTCAGCAATGTTAATCCTTTCTCGGATCAGAACAGCTTCTGTTTCCTTAAAAGGCAGAACGATTTTGAAAATGTCACTACTTCGCCTGAGTTTCACATGATGCCAGCTTATCAATTTCAACCGGATTAATCGAACCTTCTTGAAGGGGTTATATAGCTATATGATGCCAAATAATTAAATTCTTCTCTGCGTAAGATGTGTTTCACCACGGAAACTAATACTTAATTGTTAACTCTTAATGCTAGATCGCTAGATCGCTCCCGGCAATATGGAAATAATTTTTTCGCATTATGCTGTCTTGTATACAACCATTGCGCGCAAGAAGACAATGTAGCGTTCACTTATCTAGAAATAATTCGAGTGTTTTTATAGCTCAATAATATCACGATAACCATTTTGACATACCTCAACTGGCGATCCAGATAACTTCCGATGTAATGCCATTACATCTCGTAATTGAAAAGGCGCGATGTTCTCAACGGTTTGATTCTGAAGTCATCAACACCAAAATGCGACCAGCGAAATTTACGATCGGACGCCAAATACAGCCAGTTGTTGTGGTAAAGCTATCACAATTATCAAACGTCAGCCCTTGGACGTAATACGATCTATGCTCAGTCGAGTGGAAGAAATTCTGGCATAACTTTCAATCGAAAGTTTTGAAAAATTCAAATGAGTTTGTTCAAGGTCCGTAAGAGCGCCCGCCTCGCTCGATTGAACAAAGCTGTCAATAAATACCGCATAAAACAAAGGATCATGTAACCGAAGAACAAAAACAGGAAATTAGGAAAATAATCACCAGCTGCTGGTAGTTGAGTAAGAGTTCAAAAGGTGTTCAACCCATACAACTGGCAGCTTTCATGAAGTCTTCAAAGATGTGGAGCGAATAAAATCCTGAATGGCGCGTTGTATTATATTGCGTGACAATTAGTCACGCAACCATACTAAGGAACATTTCTTGGTTGTTTGTTGTTTGAATTCTTTCAACTTTCAAAAACGATAGACATGAAGCAAAGTAGTTGCACAAACTAGGCAAAGATTTTTGAAAAAGAAAAAAATACTCACAACAGTAAAGAAATTAAAACAACCACAGGAGTATAACGCATAAAGCGCAGCAGCGGAGCTTACTCATACGTAAGGAAATAAGTTTGAACCAACACCAACTTGTGCGACCAATGGATGGGACGCAAGACAAAAAGCTGGTGAAATATGGCCACTTTAACAGCGTTATCTGTATGTTCTTGTAATCATGGAAATGGTGGACTAGTCCAGTTTGTCGCATAAACAAACATTGCAGGTTATCCAGCTTAAAATTTGATAAAGTCAAGCGCGTGGCATTTGAAAAGAGACCGCAAGAATTTGCTTCTGATTCTTAGTTCACATTTTAATCAATGAACCACTTTTGTAACGTTTCAATCGAGCAGTTTGATTATCGTGTCCGATTTAGTCCTTGCAATCTAGAATTTCATAATAAATAATGATGATAATAATAGCAACAACAATTAAGAATGTGGGCTAAAATTTATCAAAACCTTTCAGCAATTCAGCAGATATTTCATATAATAGCTGAATTATACGCGTATTTTGATAAATTAGTTGTAACTTGTGATTTGAGAACATCAGTGACACTCTCGGCTGCGGCCATCGATCGTACCCCTTTGTTTTGTTCTTCCCACTTCTTGACGTAATCAGTGACCTGTTCTATAAATTACTGTACAGACGAGCTGCAGCATGAAATATATTTTGTAGAAAGAAAAACTATTTTAAGCGGAAATTGTGATAAGAGTGTTCATAACTGGTACCAGTCCTTTGGTCCGGTGATTTTAAGGCTGCTTTGGACCTCGCAGGAAACTCTTTCCAGAATTGTGGTGCTGCTTGAATTGAAGTAAATACCAAGCACGCTGTGAATGAGAAGAAAATATTATAATGATTGATTTGTGTTATAATTGATTTTTCTCGTGTTCTCCAAACACCCAAGTGGGTTTTTATGCCTGTAAACCGATAGAAAGTGCTTAATGATCTATCAGAATGCAGATTCACAGCTGATATCAGACATTTCTTTTTTTCTTTATTCTGTCCTTGTTGTTTGTCATGATACAGAAACACAAAAATGTTTGCAAAACTATTCCGGACTGAATGGATGAAGGGCTAGACGTCAAACACAGGTTGTGCCCTGTTGACGAACAAGAGAACTGAGAAAGAAGAAGAAAAAAAGCATACGAGGAAAAAATTAAAACGGTATGATAACTAAGAGGGCCTTTGAATGATCTAAACTAAGTTTTTTCTACTGAAACTTTTATACACGTTTTTTTAAACATCCTATGGAAATATCCGTTCCATACCCCAACGCATGAAATCTCTACTGATTAGGATAATCCACAAACCAGTGCCCCTTTCGGCCGAAAGGAACGAAGCTCCTCGGTCATCGTCTCACTTTTTGATATTTTTGGGTATTCTGTTGATTTTTTCAGAGTCTGGTACAATTACAGTGACATCATAGTTATTGTGTGACTGGTGGAGTTGCGCTGAGTCTACTTTTCAAATTTAGAAAAATTGAAGAAGTCCCTTATAAATTGTAAAACCTCGAGGGCAAAATTACTAAATACAGATTGGCTGAGACAAAGGACATTTTTCATATGTATATATTTTGGTAAATCCCCTGGAACAATTACTTGGAATGGAAAACTTAAAAAAAGGCTTAAGTTTGCCTAAAAGTATTATAATTTCATCGATGGCGAATGTTTCTTAGCAGGGATGGTTTCATCGCTTTGGTGATGTTGCACAAAATTAAAAGATCATTCAATTGATGTGTGCAACTTTTTATACCACGCGTAACATAAAGCTTAGCTTTACCTGACATCCGACGATTACCTATACCAACTGGTGTTTGAATTCGAAAGGGCAACCTTGAAACGTTTACATAACAGATAAAACAAAAAATCCCTAAATTAGACAGGTATAATACTGTAAGAAATAGATATCTACGGTCACAACTTCTCGTCATACGGAAGAAATGAGAATAAAGCAAATATACTTAAGAGATCGAAGCTGTGCTTGACTGCAAAAAATGGATTGAGCTGGAAATAGCCTGATCCACGATACTCAAGTGGAGTTCGACCACTCGTCGACAGATCACGAGTTTCGACCTTCAGTATCAAGTCTTTTGCATGTGAGTAACATGCAGATGGATGGAATGACCCGTTCATTGTTTTCCCAGGGGGAACACGAGGGTTTTAAACTGTAGGGGTAAGTGACAAAATCGTGATCTGAGCACGTGCACAAAGCATGTAACGGAAGTGCAGAGCTATTTTGGGCAAACTGCGTCGCCAAAAGTTTTCGCTTTCGCCGTGTGTACCTCGTTTGTGCATATCTTTCGTTGTAAAGAGTTGCGTTTTCAAATGATAGATGTACGTGAAGCATGCCAAAGTCATATTACAGTCGAAGCTTTTAAATTTCGTTTTCCTTTCTTTTGGAAAGCACGCAAACGATCGAACCTGGTAATCTAAATCACCGATTCTACTTGTTGTGAAATCATAACAACTTATTTTAAAATACTTTTTTTACCTCTCCGGATGATACAACGAGCTACCCTTCCTTTTCTCATACTGGCAATCTCCCACTATAAGTTGATTATATCGACAACTTTTAAACAGAAGTAATCAGATCTTTTTGCGGGGTCATTTTTGCCAGTCATAGAAGCGCAGGGCAGGAAACGGATGCACAGGACGTTTTTCTCAGAAACACTAATGCATAGAGGGACCATTACCTCTGAGACTTCTACATGAATCTGAATCCTTAATTTTTATTTTTAGACTACGCGTTAAAATAATTTATGAAGGGGGTTTGCCGCAATGGCGCAATAACTTGTGAAGTATAGATATTGCCTAGACTGCAAATATTTCTGCTATTATTTGGCGATTTATATTTTCCTCATTTTCTATCTTTTAAGTTCTTTAGTTTCCTTCTCTTTTTGGCTTTCTATTCATTTAGTCACTTTCCACTAGAACGAGATCTTACAGATAGCATTTCTTATGAACAGATCACCGTGATCCAATGCCATTTATAATATTATTAGTGTCTCGGTATACTATCGAGTAAGGGCCCGTATAAGGGTCGTTGTCTCGAATCATAATTCTTTCATGCCGTATGGCTTAGATTGGTATGTGCGAGTACGTTAGCATCAGTGAGTCAGCGGTAGGAACGTGTCATTTCAAAGGGACATAATTGGTACGTATAGTTGTAATCTTCATCTTCTGAAATGTTTTCCCTGCATATAAACTTTAGCCCGACATTTTTTTATGAGTCCATTGTTATTGATTCGGGGAACACATCGCAATTTATGGTAAGATGATAATGGACTCTCTGAGCGGTTTTTTTCTGTATTGTGTTCTTCCACGACTTCCGAGGCGCATACCGTAATCACTTTTTCCCTCCGCTTCCAAAGATAAAATTTCAATATTTTCGATCCTAAGCTGTTGTTAACAAGATTTTGTCGATGACAATAAAACGGAAAAGAACGTAGAGGAGGGTGAGGGAATGGGTGCAAGTAGACGCGTGCACGCACTGTTGCTTAGCAACAATTTCCCCCTTACGGGTTACTCCAATTTTGATACCGCAAGGGTTTTTTTTTGTCGTCGGGAATTTCCCACAATATTACGAAACAGTTGAACTATAAGAAGATTTGAGTCGACGCAGGTCGATAGTCTTGACAACTTTACTCGAACAATCGAGTCTTCTGGACTACACCAAATTATCTGAGGAAGCTAGGAGCCAAATTTACTATCCTTTTCGAAATGGCCACAGAAGTGGATTGCGACGCTATGAAAGCCGAAAACATCCGTCTACGACACACGTTGTTCGTGATGGTCACAGATAGACAGAAAATGGCGTCCAAATTAACGGGCGTTCAGAACCTTGGACAACAACTGCAGAAGAAAGAAATAGAGAATAGTAATCTTAGAGAAAAAATTGAACGGATAGAAGGTTCTCTGGCGAGAGCAGAGAACAGAATAACTCAGTTAAGTCTTCAAGCGGGCAACGGCCAACATTTGAGCGGCCAAACCGCCATTGTTACGCCAGGAGTTTCAAAGAAGGTTTTAGAAGCATTAACTCGCGATAATACAAGACTAAAACAAGCTCTGGACCACTTAACCAACAGAGGACCAGCCGGGGTTGACTTGGCAGTGGTAAGTGAAGGTATTTCATTCTTTTGCAAAGGAAGGAGTTAGCGAGTCACAAATTTTAATCGTTAGGTAATCATATGTTGTTTGTGCCGTACGTACGTGTGTTTTTCTTATTCGGTTCGACTCTTAACATTTCACAGAAAGTCTCAAGATAGGAGTACGAGAATGGATTAGTATTCCTTCAGCAAGTATTCAGCAAAATACTGAGCTTGATATATCAGTTTCCTTTCAGTGTAAGGTCTCTATTAATGGTAGGGAATTTTCCCAAAACTGAAACAAACAACGGGAAGGGCGCCACGCATTCGCGAAAAAATCTGCTTTGCTAAGCACCTTTTTTTCTGCACGTACTCGCTCGTCTTCAATGATGATGAGGTTAGATTGTTCTTTCGGGATATTTTAGAGTAACAGCAAATGCTTTAACGAGGGGAAGGGTTTGAAATTTGGTTTTTCGTAGTGGTTTCCCTATGATGATATATGCATTTTTTTTTTTCATCAAGAAACCGAAAGTAGGGTAATTTGAATAAGGAAGGATTGTTCGTAAGTAGGGGATTCCCCGTTTATTCTGCGTTCCCCGATTGGTCGTTTTCAAGTAGATGGCCCAATAATTACCTGATATGGTGCTCGAACAGGTTTATACTTGTTTCGGTTTCTGCACGTTCATCATTATCCTTCAAAAATTTGTTATTAATTTTTTTAATAAATGCTTGAGAAGCAAATTTGAGTGAAGAAACTAAATTATCTTACTCAGCTTTTAGATAACAATGAGTTAGATAACAGGGTCCTGAATGTGCTTAAGCAGCAATTGAGTAGTTCTTGAGAGAACCCTCTCAGAATCTTCAATATTTTCATTTTGTATTTGGAAGAGTTCAAAAATTTTTTTATTATTATTTACCAACGATGAACTTCATTACATCCAGGTCAAATGAAAGTCTCAAAACAAAAATAAATCATGTCTGAGACATGAAATGACAAATGCTGGGTCTGTCCCCAGTATTAAGTAAGGTGTCTTTTTCATCTTTTTTAGCTGCTTTTCAGCTTTTTTTTTTTACTATTTCTTTACTTCTTTTTAGCAAAAAGGCTTTTGAATTGTACATCATTTTGTTAATCAATTTTCAATCATTTTTTGTTTCTCCAGGAGAATAAGGAACTACATGAAATAATCATGAACCTTAGAGATGAAAAGAACATGAAAAGCAATGAAGTAAAAGAATTAAAAGCAGCTCTAAGTGCTGCCCATGAAGGCAACATTGAATTAATGAAAGGCCAAGTGCTGCGCCTCACTGCATTGGTCACAAAGCTTGAGAGAAACCTCAATGCCAAACAAGTGTTTTGTGAAACTGTGGTGACAGAGAATGATTCATTGAAGAATGAATTACAGTCTCTTAGGGATGATAGGGTAACTAGAGTGAGAGATCTAAAGAGAGGACTGGGCCAACTGTCAACACAGCCAGACGTCCGTAGAATTTTGAACCAGGTGTATGATACTCCAGATGGAGACCCAGAGGTAAATAACCAAACCCAAGTAGTCTTTAAAAAAATGATGGTCTTATCATCCTTTCTTTGTTTTGTACAATTTTCTAGTTCCTTTGTGTTTGTCTAAAGATGGAAATTTATTACTTTTAATTGATTTACTTGTAACAAACAAGTATTTCTTTAGGAGCTCTATATTTTTTTCAAACAAAGATACATTATAGTGGAATAATGAACAAGAGAACACATCAGTAAACACAAAAATGTTAGGGACTGGTGGCCATGGTTTCTGTAATTTGTTGCTTGGAGACTCTTATGAATGTAGAATTTAATGACACAAATGATATAAAAGTTAACTAGATCATATTTTTGGTTAACTTTCTTTTCATATCTACATTACAGGAATATGCTTCTTCAGAAGAGCATACCACGCTCAAAGAGGAGGTTTCAAAATTAACCAGGGAATTAGAGGCTAAGGCTGCTGAAAGGGAAGAATTTATTGTAGAATTGAACAGAAGGAAGGAAGAACAGACCCAATCAAACAATCTCCACACTGCTCAGCTTAAATCTGTAAGTTAAGTTTATAAAAGTTATCTATGGTGAAGTTAATATGAGTTTGAAGCCTTGAAAAAGTTTTTCAAGCACTGAATTTACTTAGCATCAATTGCTTTCATGTGATATGTTATCACACTTAAATCAGGTTTGACATCCAAGACACTAACAGAGTTACATAGTGTATTTGTTATGTGCACACAACTTAATGGCAAGCAAAATAACCTAACAAAGTTATGTTGTAAGGGAATGAAATTTGACAAAATAGAAAAAGACTTAAAGTTTATGGTTGATCACCATGGTCCTTGTAAATAACATGTATGCGCACAATTGAACTATAGAGACAAATTAGACAATTATACAATGTGTTTCTCAGCGACCACTTCGACCTAAAATATGAATTGTATCTCTACATCTATTGAGACTGTTACTGAAACCTATCTTTCTTTCATCTTTATTTTTAAGTTTGAAGAAGGGCAAGCACAGATGTTACGACAGCTACATGCATTGAGTGATGAACTTACAGAAGTGAAGAGAGATCGTGCAGAAAAAGATATACAACTTAAAGATAATGAGATGGAACAAGAACTCATGCGAAATGCAGTAAGTGAATGGTTGATATACTTTTGGCAAACAATTAGTCCAGGGGTTTATGCTCAGAAGTAAATTCTTAGATGTCTGATATTTTACTCATACTTGTAAATTTTCAAGAAAGTTATGTGAAAGTGATGTTAATTAAAACTTATTTCCTTTACAGCTTGAAGGCTATGAAAATGATTTTAAGATGGAAAGACAAGAGAAGGTCAAGGCCTTGTCAGATCGTGAGCAGGTGTCACGTGAAAGGGATCAATTCAAGCAACGTTTCGAACAACTAAAGCAGGAACACATTGGCTTGAGACAAAACATTGAGCGAATGTACTCAGAAGCTCAGAGACAGGTGAGAGCCATAAACTTGTTTAAAGAGAAATGAGCTATTTCAGTATGGCAGTTGTGTTTCAGTAACTGTTCAACAAGGACAATTTGTTTAACAAGCAAGAACTTCTTTAGCTGATGATCATTTCCTTTATTCTTATGACCTTAATGTTTGATTCAGAAATGATATGGTAAGGAGAAATTAGATGCTTATCACTCTCAGGGGTTTAAGAGTTAAACAAGATTTTAGGGAATGAAAATGAGCTGGACATAGTTACAGGTATGTTGCCATAACTCTGTACTAATAGAATCATTCTTTGCATTGTTTGCAGCATGCCCAAGGTCAAAACAGACTTCCAACTCCAAGCCGCACATGTGCAGCTCAAGTTCAGGAACCATGGCAACAAGTACATGTAAGAATAATAAAATTTGTTCTAATCAACTTGATGTAAACAATACAAAGCTCACAGATTTCCTTGAAAAAAGAGTTTTAATTCATGGCATAAGTGTATAGATCTTTTTTTTTTGGCTGTAATAGAGATTCTAATGAAAATTGAGAGGCCTCCCATGAAACAGCCCCATATGCAGATTGTTGCATGTGTTTTTTGGTTATTTCAGCTTGCTTATTTTCTTGTTTTGCTTTGTTTTTAATTATTGATTAACATGACTTTGTTTGTTAATTCATAGCAAAGTCCAATGAGAGCTAGAGCTTTTGGAATGGAAGTGAAGGCTGATGGACATGGGCCGGATGTGACAGACTGCCCAACTTCTCCGCCGAAGGATGCAATGCGACGTTTTACCAGCCAAGGAAGTCAGTTGCAGTGTCCCAACTGTAGAAAACTTTTCCCTCATGATCTGCTTGAAAATCACATGAGAGACTGTACAGGAGATGATTAGCAATGAGTTTAGCTTACACAAGGAAGATGAGTGTACGATCTGAAATGTCTTTGACAGGAATGGAATGCTAGCAAGATTAAAGAAACTGCTATGAGCATGTGGCTGACCTACTGGATGTCTGAAACCACACACTGACTGTTGTGGATTTGGCGAGATAGTTGTTATCATTTTGCTCGTGTGATGTAATTCAAATACGAAAATGGTGCAGCCACACAAGGAAAGGGTGAAGAGAGAGACTGGTGTCCTGTGGTACCCGATGCTTACTGAGGGGATACAAAACAATGCCAAGTGTAAGGGAACAATGCTATGAAAGTCAAGTTATGAAAGGGTTTGCTGTTTGATGCTAGCATTATTGCTATTGCTAGCAAATAGCTCCCCTTGTTTTCAAGCCAGATTGAAGAGAGGAAGACACTTTTGGCTTGAAGGAGTTCTGTGAGGCGCAGTTCTTTGTTCAATGATAGGAAGTGTGGAAGCAATTTTTGCATCTGATTCACAATGCATGGAGTTATGATATCTGCACAAATGCTTTTGATCAGTAGAAGATGCAAAATGTTTGGAGAAGAAATGTTCAAAGGTTTGTAAAGACTACATTTAGTTTTACTCAAAAACATCATTGGGGAGTTATGAATGAATCTCTGTTTTTAATCAATAGAGAGGATGAAATTTACTCCTTCAACTGTTAAGTAAGATGATGTCAACTGTTAAGACTGCCAAAAATAAGAGCGAGCAAGAAAAGCACTAAAACATAATTAGTTAGAAGTTTTCAATTAAAAGAAAAGAGTCGGAGACCTGCTCCTTTCAAATATATATATTTCTGCAAAATACCGCTAGAGAAACTAGTTTCTCTACATTCGCTTCAACGTTGTACATTCACTATAAAGAACAATACATTTGTTAATGACACTAAAACTACCAGATCTAAGCAATTTTTTTGAGTACAATGATCAAGAGAAAGCAAGATAAATAAACATATTTAATCTTGTTCCGGGAAAGGAACTAGTGATTTGGTAGAAGCTAGGAGGAGATACACTCAAGGCGGTGAAAGCTGTTGGGATTTTCCATGTAAATCATTGAGACCTAGACCTTGTTCAATTTATTCAACTTTATGTCCTTTGACATTGGAACATTTGACGTTCCCTCTCTAAGAGAGGCATAGTTTGGTTGTTATTTGAATAGTTTGCTGTAGCAGAATTAGCTTTGCATTTTTGAAAATGAATTTTTGTGTGTAGATATTAAATTATGATGGTACATGTTTTTGTAAATGCTCTGCTAAAGTTTTTCTCTATCAATAAAAAGTATCGTCTAAGGGAAATTTTATTTGAAACAGTGTTTTGTACTTTCTCGTGACACCAAATGACGAACTCGGATGAGATTATAATGTTGCGAAAGGAAACAAATATATTTAGCAAAGTGATCTGACGCCTTTCTCACGAAATAAAAACACAATTTACAATCAAATGAACATAAGGCTGTTACAAGGGAATTCTCAGCGAATGAGAACCCGCCATATGTGGTTTTGGATGAGAAATATACAGCTATTTTGATTTTTCAAAATTCCAAACTCCTGTGGCACAAATAATTTGACAATTCCTCTCTATGTTGCCTCTCGTCTGTTCAGTAATAGGTCACAGATGACGTCAAAATGCGGTAAGAACAAGAAAGTGGCACAAGAGGCGCAGCTGAGTGTGTTACTGATTTTCTTACCACATTTGACGTCCTCTGTGATCTATTGCCGTACAGACCAACCGCAACGTGGAATTTATTTGTTTTTTATGACAAAAAAGCAAAAAGTTTTAAAGTGATGACGTCATATACGCCTCTGTCCTCTAGTAAATCATTGATAAGAACCAATCAAAATGCGTGTAGGATTCAGCTTATCATAGAAATCTAGATCAAAGATTTTAATTGGTCTATATCTCGTAGTATAGTCACAGTGAATGTAGATGGACGTTTTGACTGTGCACAAATACACCCCACCAGCTGCTCTTATTGAAGCAATAGACCGCAGTTTTTATTGGTTAACCAGCATCATACCCCACTTGGGATGAGAGAACACGAGAAAAGTTTGTGAATCACGGGCCGGAGGCAAGTGATTTTCAAACATTTCTCGTGTTCTCCCAACATTGCGCCGGTAAACGGATAGAAATTGCGGCATATTGCTTTCGTGCAATGAACTTAAAATAAACCCTGAATTGGATCGTTCCCAAGTGTTAGGGTCTTGGCCCTTCTTCAGCTAAAGTTAAAAACACAAATTTGTGGATTCCAAAGCAGGATATGCATGATTGCAAGTTATAAATCAATAGAGAATTGGTCCATGCTTAACTTGCGGATATCGAGTTATGGATGAACGCGGGAGGTTTGGAGAGCACGAGGCTGAGGAGCCTCGCACAACTCTAGCTTCTTGAGTGCTCTCCAAACTTCCCAAGTGCATTCATAACTCGATACACACCCAGACAGAGCATGCAGACACTAACTGTGTCAGGTCTGCCAGGTAATCGTTTTCTACTCGAAAAATATGGATAAATGACAAGGCAAAAACGACCAAGAAATATTTCGTGAACAAATTTTCATTATAAGTAATGTAACTTTTCTGCTCAGAAGCGAAAAACGGACGAATTTCTTGCATATGCGAGACCATGTAGTAGATTCAGCATGCTTGAATCGTTGTTTACTAGAATTAACGGCTAGAAAATTGCGTAGGTTTGAGTTGAAAATTTTTAAACTTCTAAAATTGGATGGTTTTAAAATTAAAATCTTCTATTGAACTATATACTTTTAGGAAAAATCAGCAATTTAACTAATATAAAACGCTTGAAAAACAAACCGAAAAACTTACAACAACTGGTCAAGTTGACTATCACAAGATATAATTTCTGCTTTTAAATTTTTTTCTTGACAAAAGTACTTCCCCAGTTGGGCTCCTTTTTGAACTACAATTTCTTTGTCAGCATTTGTCACTTCCTGCTTAGTCTTGCTATCAATCTTCCAACCTATAGAACTTTTTCTCATAGGGCACTATTCCACATCTCCGGCGGGGAAAAATGAAAAGCTTCTGCAGCGAAAAAGTAACGGAAGATCGATCCAGATTTTAGGAAAATTTGAGACGTCTTGGCATTGGGTCACAAACAAGATCTGAGAGATGTTGATGACTTAGCTGTATACGAAACCCAGCAAAGTAAGTTTATTGTGCGAAAAGACATGTGAATAGCAGCTGTAATAATGAGATGAAAGGCCATGAGAGGATATCAATACACAGTGGGCCATTGGCTGGATTTGGATGGTCCGGAAATGCCACAACTACATGGACTCTTTACATAAGCACTAGTTCTAATCGTGAGTTCAAAAGTTAACTCAGAGTGATTGCTAATACTTAGTTTTGAATAAAGACCAACCCGAACTTGTCTCGATCTTGAGA